GGTAAAAGAAAAGCTAAAGGTGAATCGAGGAAGTCCGATGACAGCAACAATTTCCGTTAATCACTACTAGCCATCAGACCTGAAGATCTCTTGGTTTAATTAGGAAACAAGCTACTGTTCGGCAAGCAAATGTAATTGTTGTTCTTCCCTCTTATTTATTTTGAAATAGATAGACAGTATTTTATTTTAAAGCGTTTTTGAATTTAGTTGTTTGAGTGAGAAGATAAATTCTTTTTTTCTCCTTGACAAAGAAAAACTAGTAATTTGTTAATAGAAATTGGGCTTATTTAACAAATTCTCTTTTAAATTTTCACTTAATCTTTTCAATTAAAGAAAAAATTAATGATGTAACAGAGTAGTCTTCCTATAACACGCTAGATAAACTTAAAATGAATTACAGTCGACCTCCCTATAACACTGTTGATTTTTCCATTTTATATGAATTCCATGTTGTACGAGTCACTTAGATTTTACAAATACGTGTGCCGGACTGTGAACAGCTCGCGTATTTATAAAATCTAAGTGACTCGTACAACATGGAATTCATATAAAACGGAAAAATCAACAGTGTTATAGGGGGTCGACTGGGTATTAAAAATATTACAGCCAAAATACTCATTTAACTTGTTGAATAAACATAAAATATGCATTTAATTTATGTAAAATAGATTGATAATTTAATATTAAATCAAGCTTTTTAACACTTTTAATTTTATTATAATAAATATATTTATAATAGTCATTATACTGAAAAAAAATATGTTAATTAAACAATATTTTTTTTATATTTACAAATTAAGACACTCCTTAGCTGAAAAGTTCTTTTTAGTATTAAATTTTAAAAGTATAAAATAATTAATACATTATAGATGCTTTTACGATGATCTTTTACAGATATTAAAACTAATTATAAAGGATTTAGTAGTGATATATTATTAAAGAATGTCTAATAAAGCTTTATCACAAACAGACTGACTCATGGTATATTGAAGTCTGACAAAATTGTCAGAGTTCAATATATTTTTAGTTGCGGGCATGACGTAATATTTAATATTTAATCAAAGATTTTTTTATTAAAAGATTCTTGATATAAAAGAAGAAGAGAGAAGCGCAAAACGAAGAAATATTATTAAATTTTAGAAATAAAATTTTTTCCTAAAAAAAATGTAACTTTATCATCGAATGAATATGTAGCATTGATTTAGCCTTGTAAAATTTTGAATTAAACACGTTTTCTATACAAAATTTTTAACATTTAAACTGTTTTAAATTATAAAAAGTTTGTATTGTTTTAAAGGGAATTTTTTAAAAAAATTTCGGTGATCAAAACAGACTACAAAGAAAGGTCGGTTTTCTTTGTATTTCAGAATAGTAAAAGTGTATTTCTCCGTCAGATTTAATCCTTAATTTTAATGTAAACTTGTTTATAATTTTTAAGACATTTTAATTCGATTAATAATCTGTTACACAGATTATATGCAAGCGATGAAATTCAAAGAATTTCCTCACTTTCATATAAAAATTAATTTGGTCAATACTTTAATAGCTTATTTTATTTTAAAAAATATATATTAAAAAGATTGTTTAATAATAATAATTTTCTTTTCAAATTCAGATTTAGTTTTCTTCTTTCACTTTCAAAGCTTATCGTAATAATAGAAAGACAATAATGTAACGTGGAAATAAAGTGATACGAAAAAAGTAACATTTTAAAAATAAAGCTGGAATTAAAGATAGAGTCGTCAAAACAAGGAGATTGCAATCACCAATAGAATCTCAACCTCAAACATAGACATTTCTCTGACAGATGCACAGTCAAGCTGTATAAAACTCCCAGAGGGAGAGGAGTTACAATCCCACCAACAGCGGTCGATCCAACTCTTGAGACCGTACGTCAGTAACCATTAATTTGCCCGTGACTGATGCTTCAGCTCTTCTCCCCGTCATACGTCTGTTTACGCCTGCTTTTCGCTAAGTGACGACCATAGCAGCCTCTCGCCTGTAAAGACGTCTTTATTGCACTACTACCTAGTTATGCCGATAAGTCTGATGTACAGGGGATTCAATGCGAGCATTCAATGGATAGTGAATTATGTAAAGCATCCCTGAAGACTATCTCGCGGTAGTCGTTGTCACTCAAGTGATATATTTTCAAGCTTTTTTTTTTTCTTTTAACTTGCTAAATTTTTAAAATTTATTTTAAAATTCCTTTTTATTTATAAATTTAAATAAAATTATCTGAAACAGTCGTCGTATTTCCCCACTTTCATCCAAGATAAAACGTTGACAAACTTAGATGTGAGGAAAAGCTTACTAAAAACTTATTTGATAATTATAAAATAAATAAAATTAAAGTGATAATAATTATATAACGATGATAGAATATAAAGTTATGTTTTAGAAACAATGAAAAACAAATAGAATAGATTAAAAATAGGATTAAGAAGTGATAAAATAATCGTGTGTGTGGCTTAATAAGAAAAATATAAATGAAGAATAAAGGCATTAAGATGAGTTTTTCTTCTGTTAGACAAACTAGATAATCGAATATCTAGAAAGAAATCTGATTCCAACAGTCATTTAGAGATCAGAATAAATCTTACAGTAATCCTACTCACTAACAAAAAAAACCAATCTTTATTGGTGAGGCACGATATAATAGAGAGAATCACTGAATTGAGTTGCCACTTTAAGCAAGTCGCCTCATATCCACCAACATTGGTATCCTTTAGCCTCTTGGGAGAAAGGAACCACTATCTCTCTGCTTGCAATCTCACAACTTCATTATACAAGGGACCTTGTATTAAGACGATGTATCACGTGACTCAAGCTAGGAATGGGGCCCGATTGACTCACGGATAACGGTACCGAGGATCCGATAGTTGCCATAGCAACGATTTAATGGGGTCCGAGTTGACAGGATGCCGTAAAAGGCAACTCTAGGAAACCCCTGTCATTGTTCTCATTGTGTCACGTGATAAAGAATTACTTTATTGTTAAATGAATGGATTTTTTTTGTTTTTTTTTTTAATCACGGCATAAACGAATCGCAATTTCTACACTGAAAATATTACAAAAGTTTATCTAAATTTATTTAGGTTATAAAATATAAAAATATATGCTACATTTGACAAGAATAAATCGACTTCGTTTACTACGAAACTTAACCATTTATGTATTTATATATATATACCTATAGATATATGTAAATTTGAATTTAGGATGTGCACAGATTAGAGTTTATTAAGAACTCGACTCGTATACGTGATTTTAAATATAATTAACAATGTATCTTTCTCAGATATACAGTAGTATTTGATGAACCGATATAATTATGCTGTTTACTTTCGAATTATTATTGAAACGTGTCTTTGAAAACTAATTTTAGATTTTGTATGGCATCTTAGTCATTAAAATTCTTTAGAGAAAAATTATAAAACAATAATAATAATAATAATAAATAGCGATGATACGAAAGTTCTTAACATTTTTCTAGCTTTAATTATTGTATAGAATTGTACGTTTCGATTTAGAATGCTGTAAAAATTATCAGAGAATATAAAAAAAGGATGAAAGAACACACAAAGATTAGAGGAAGAATTAAGAAAATGGACGTAAGAAGTTATAAAATTTTGAAGGAAAACTCAGCTAAGCGAATGGAAGTTTATGATATAACCTAAATGTATATTCTGAATAGAAAATAATGATAAAATATTATTATACTTTAAAACTATATTATTTAAGTAAATAACTTTGTGATTTTAATATTATCCATTATAATTTTATAACAATTTTACAGTATTACATAAGTTAAAATATTGTATTATGTTATGCCATTAAATGCATTTGAAGGTTAAAGAGTCATGATGTAATATGTGTTTATTTGATATAAACAAGAATAAATATTTAGAAAAAAAGTAATATTAGAAAATAAAAATTATTAAGTGTAATATTTACAATAAAAATAATAGTTTATTTGTAATACTTTGTCAATATAAGATAGATTAATATGTTATTACAGAGTTAAATAAATAAAAACGAATAAGATAAATTGCGGAAGTTCAAAATGGGAATCAATAGATAATGAAATAAACCGGAAATAATCTATTTTAACACATTTATTCATAGAAAATTTTTTTTTTAAAGTCTCCTTATTGAATATTTAATCATTTCTAGATATCACCCACCCTTTCATTTTAAAAATTTATCATAAGAAGAATTTTAATTACAGAATCAGTATTTAAATAGAATTTTTCTGGTAATTACTAATTAAATTGAAATATTTTCGTAAAGCTAAGATTATTCTCTGTCTCTTTTATGCAGTATATATTAATAAACATATATGTTTTGATGATAAATGTGTGAAATAGTAAGGAAAGAAGATTCTTCCCCTGGATGTCAGCCGCCCTGTCGGGTCGCAGGGTTAATTACTGTACAGGTCTGAGACCTTTATGTCAGCAATCAACTCGTCATTTGAACCCCACGAAAGTATCTAATCCAGTTCAAATGTGGTCGGATTAATGGGGAGGGAAAAAATTAATTAACATTTTCATCCCTCTTCCTTCCCCTTTGTTGTACGAAGAGAACAGATGAATAGATTGGACGGGATGCGGATCGGTTTACCAAAATTATTTCATAACCGAATTCTAGTTATTTTTACCAAGAGAAAGATGCACAAAGCGAAAGCTGATTAGAAATTTCCTCTTTATTTTACAGATAACATTATATATATATTTGGAATATGTTTTTTTTTTTAATTTATTATTTATAATTATCTTTTGCCTTCCATTTAAAAGTCTGTAATTACGTCTAACGATTAGGAATTTACTGTGGAGATTAAATATATATATATATATATATATTTGCCTTCAAAAAACGTTGTGTTAATTAACGCTACGTACTGTATTTTTTATTGAAAAGAATCTAAATTATTTACAAGAATATATATATTATTTTCGAAATTATCATTTAAAATACATATATATTTTTCTATTTTGTAGGTGCGAACAGACACCGGTAGACTGCTTCGTCACCTAATTGAACACCATGGCGACCCAGAGATATCGGCACCTCCTCTGGGTGGTGTGGGTATTCCTTCTCTTCCAGGGAGCTCAAGGGGTTAGGTAAGTGTTTTTAATTTAAAATTATAAATTCTTAGTAAATTCAAGCATTAATATACATAGATAATCATACGTTGTGTATCGCTCTTAACACCGAGAACGTGTACGTTTATGTGTTTAGTTTCATTAAAGTGTTAAAAATATAATTGATTTCATATATAATTATCGCTAGATAGCACTAGAATTAAGAAACATCTTAAGGTTTTTCATATTATTTTCTTGTTTTTTATTAGATTTAATTAGTTGTAAATAACATCTGTAAAATAGACTTTTAAATTCAATTGTTTGAATTTTATAACCGTCGATGGTATTATCCTTTGCTATTTTTAGGATGATGTGAGGTTATTTACCAGTTTAAAACTTAAACGTTAGTGCTATTACATTTCAATTTTTAAGAGAAACTGCCTCTTATATGTCACTCAGCTACACATACTTGTCACGAAGTTTCTCTGGCAAAAAATCGAATTAATAAAGGAGAATAAGGAATCCATTGTCGACAATATTAGATGCATAAATTTCGTGTTTAATTCCAACACTTCATTATCCAGTTATGTCGTTCTTTGTTCCTTTTATCTACTAAAAACCACAAGTAATATAGAAACGCCTCCAGCTATATTTAAACAACTAATCTGAAGAATATATAAAGATTTCTCTTCGCATAAATTAAACTGTGCTAATTGCGAGTTTTAACATAAATATTCTCCTTAAAATTTGTATTTTTCTTAAATTTATAGGAAAGAAAAAAAAACCCATAAAAGTTAAATAAAAATTTTTTTAATTGCCAATTTTATTGAATATCTTACGTTTTCACATCATATATTCAACCTATTGGCTTTTAATAGTAGAATAAATAAAGATTTTGTTAACTGTACTGTTAAAAATGAAGATTATTTCATATTATTATTATTTCAGAGTTAATTTTTAAATACTAATTATTACACTTATATTAACATTAAAATACAGTCGACCCCCTATAACACTGTTGATTTTTCCGTTTTATATGAATTCCATGTTGTACGAGTCTCTTAGATTTTACAGATACGTGTGTCGGGCTGTGAACGGCTCACGTATTTGTAAAATTCAAGTGACTCGTACAACATGGAATTCATATAAAACGGAAAAATCAACAGTGTTATAGGGGGTCGACTTGTAAATATTTCTTTTCTTATCCCCTATTAATAGCATCTCAAGTTTTAATTTGAAATTTTACTAATTTTTTTTTAATGAAAATTCTAAATGATATAGATTATACTTATATAATTTTTTTATTATTTTATTATTCTTTATTTTATTTATCGATTGATAAAAGAGAATTTCTTGATTGAATTCCTGGATCCTATTTATTTCTATTTCGTTCATTATCAATTGACAAATGACCTTTCCAAGATCAAAGGGATAAACTGCCTTTTTCGGGGCAATTGTACTTCATTCTTCTTACAAAACAACAAAATTTTTGCTTGACAATTTTTTATTCTTGAGCAGGTGTTTACAATTTTTCTTCGGTTGATGAATAAATCTTTACTCGTTCTTTTTAGTATTATATTATTTTGGTTAGAAAAAAAAACATACATTATTCTCTCATATTTTCTATTGAAAAAAAAAATATATATATATATATTTTACTCAGAATCTGATAAAAGTGATTTCCACAATCAGCTTTAAGTAGCTCTATAAAAATGACAATAAAGATATTGATAATAAATCTTTTATACTATTGATGTCATTCTTTTAAAAATCATTCATCATTTAATTGAAATTTCTGAGAAAGAAAGAAAAATGATCTTATATAAAGCCATTAAGATAATATTTTCAAAACTTATATAATATAATTTTTCCAAAGAAGAATGATGTTATTTTACCTGAAATTAATACAATAATGTTTATAAAAAATGTAAATTCTCGTATAAAAAATATTTTTTAAAACCATTTTAAAATTTTTTTATTTAATTTTATTATATATGAAGTAGTTTAAAACAAATATTTAAGATTTTTAATATATTATTAAATATTTAATAGTTTATTAGATTTAAATAACGTTATTGTTTAAATAAAATAAGTTAAATAAATGAATTTATAAGTTTTAATAAAAGAAATTCAAATATTCTTTTGTTGTATAGCTTTCAATTTTCTTTTAATAATTCTTAATACTGAAAATTATAAAGTAATTGGACAGAATCAGATTTTAAAAGAGAACTTCACACAATANAAAAAAAAAAAAAAATATAGTGGATTATTAATTCTTGAAAAATAGATTTAAAATTCCAAACCCGTTTGGTAAGAGACGAATTTTAAAAAATATTTATAATATCGAACGAAATTAAAAATCTAAACACGTACGATTAAGAGAGAAATGTGTTTAAATCCTCACTTAAGATCGAGATTTTTGCATTTAAAATATTCCTATTAATATCAATGTTAATACTGTTAGAAATTCGATTTAATTTAGAGATTGTAAATCCGTGTTTAAATTATATTTAAATTTACTATCGAAAAATTGGATAATTTGTTTTATTTTCTTTTTTTAAATAAAATACAGTCGACCACCCCTATAACGCGGTAGATACGTTCCATTTTATAATAATTTCGCGTTGTAGGAATCCTTAAATATATGAGCCAATCACAGCCCGGCACGTGTGCAGTTTATGGATTACGGCTGTTTGAAACGTTTTCTTCCATAAAATTAATCGATTCTAGACTAATTTGACTCAACATTTCCAAAACACGTATAAATTTTTGGGAATAATCCATATAAACTATGCTATAAACAAAAAAATTGTAGGATTACTTACCGAGTGTGCACAGCTCGACGACGCCATTGCTTAAGCTTGTTTTCGTCGCGGAGCAGCGCACCAAACGGAGTAAGCGTTTTCTGATAAGTTATTTTTCTGCGAAAAATTAGTTGAACTTTGGACGATGTGTCCAAAGTTCAACTAATTTTAATAGAAATTAATAGAAATAATTTTTATGGCTGTTAAATAAATGTTTTTTTCACAAGAAATGTATAAATTTACAGTACTGTATTAGACTTACAGTACCTAATTTAGGCCTATATACTGTACAGACGCTAGTAAACTCAACTTACCCGCCTAAACTCTCCGTAGCGTGTAAGTAGTTCGGCTGCTTGTCCACTATTGGTCCAGATTCGACCAATCCTGTCGCGACACGAGTCGGCGATGACGTTTTACCGCATTTTACGAGTCTCTTTTAGCGTCTTTATACGAATACGGTCGCAATTTTTTCTCCGCAATATACGAATCCGCGTTGTAGGAGGGATCGACTGTAAATGATCTTATTTTATGGTCTAGATAATACTTAATTTTATTGAAAAATCAAGAAATAAAATGTCGTAGTGCATTTTGAATGTATAAAGGGAGTATTTTGGGAGGGAAAAATTATATAAAAGTCTAGTAGTGACTTCGTGGGGTCAAAACAAATTTGAATCTACTACTGTGTTGACTTCAAGCATTTCTCTTCGAGGAAAGATTACTTTGAGGGCCCCTGTTGGTGGGGGCCCTAGGAAATTTCCCTTTTTGCTCATAGGATAACATGCCACTAAGGTGTAACTGATCTACACATAAATACCATAGCCTAGTTACAATGTATTAAATATTAAATATTTATTTTAATATTAACTATTTGAATATTTAAATACATTACAACAATATAAATCGATATTATTTATTTTTTATTTTTTAAATTAAATATTACAGATAATATAGAATTAAACTACTTCTTGATGCATTTATTCAATAAAAGGATCTTCTTAGAAATTTACCATAAATAAAATTTTCATATAAATTTATTTAAATAACACTTTAAAAAGTTATTAATAATAAATATTAAAACATGTATTAAAATACATAAATGTGGAAATTTTTAACACATATTTACATAGATAAAAAAATATATATATTTTATTTATTTTCAACGTTTCTAGGGCATTATTTAGATTATATTTTGATTAATTTAAAATAATGTAGGTAATATATTAACAAAACTTTATTTTAAATAGATGCAAATAATGTTCCTTCAACTGAATAGCTTAAATAAGTAGCTGTAATTTAAATAGTTAACAGACTATATAACTTAGCTGATAAATTTTATTTATCTACACTTTAATAATTTAAATTAACTAAACACATTCATATCTATGAAGGAAATTATAAAGAATATATTTAGTTTTTAAAGGAGATGATGCATGCTTTTAAATACACATCTTTCCCTATGTAATAATAGATGAAAATAATATAAATTGAGTGTAAATAATCTTTTGGATTATTAAAAAAGACTACTGTTGACTTCCAGAAATATTTACATAGACAAAAGAAACTGTCTTGAAAATTAAAATACATTAAAACAGTAAAAATAATTAGGAGAAGGTGGTGCAAGATGGGGTCATGGGGTAAGACGGGGACGTCTGTTTATTTGTGGTTAATGCGCTTTTATCTAGCTGCTATTTGGGGAACTAAATGTCTACCTCGAAAGGGATCATCGAGCGAGAGAACGTCCAAATCGCTCTCTTTGTTTGGAAGTAAGATACGTTTTTCATGTTTCAACAATACCTCATCTAATTTTATGCCTGCTAAAAGTTTCTACAGAGTAAGTATCATTGTGAACTTTTACATTACCTTTCAGATGAAGATATTATGGTATTCGAAGTAACCTTTAAGACTGTAATTGTTTAGTTTTGAAATGAAGTTTACCTGTGTTTGCAGTCAATATAAAAAGTACATTGGGGGCAAGATGGGGTACCTATCTAGCCCCAGGTTGACCATGAATATGGCCTATGAATCCAGAAGTATTTTTGGATGCAGACTTTATTGCTGCAGAGACGACAAAAAGTCCCCTTCAGCAAGGATAGGCCTAACAAGAAACAAAAGACAAATGACACAGAATGCCTCTATTGTAAAGTGTTAAACTATACTCTGTATCTAAAGAGAGTTGGACTAAATGTAGCCGTTGTGATAAATAAGCACACTGTTCTTGTGCCAATATTGAAGAAA